TATATATATATATATATATTATATATATTTATATAGTAGCTTGTATATATTGCATTTGAAAAGGTATTTTCCTTGTTTGGTTTTTATGTTAATAGTATGAATTTTTCTAACAAAATAATATAAAAGGAAGGGTATTAATAATGGCCAATATAAGATTTGTGAATATGTGTAGAGTAAAACTTTTCTCAGCATTTTGCATGTTTAGATTGAAAATGGCCTCAGAAGGGTCAAGGTTCATTGATGAAAGAAGAGTTCAAAAACTAATCTGAATGAAAAAAAAAACCTTCAAAATAGGATTGAGTTAAAATCCTATTTCATTATTGAGAATGTTTTCTCTATTTTTAAATACTTTTATTTATTCTCTTGTGTTGCTTGAACATATATTGCTGAAGGTGATTGTTCAACTTCATTCTGATGACAGTAGCCTTCATATAGTACTTATCTTTGACCTCTTGTTTTTTTTTGCTGTCATTTGCCAAAGAAATTTAAACCAATGTTTTTTATAACGATGGTACTAGTACAATAAATAGTTTTAATTTACTTAAATAAAGAACATAAGAACTGGCTTTCTAGCAAGACAAGAGAGGCTTAAATTCCCTTTGCTGCTCGATCTGAACTCCAAGAGATAAATATTTAAACTGAAGATGAAATTAAAAATATTCTGTACTGAAAACAAAGTAGCATTATATTTGATAGACTAAAACTTTGCCTTTCTATTGGTTATAAATGATATAGTATAAAAGGCAGAGAGAAGTACTGGCAATTTGCAAAAGAGAGAATGTGACATATGGTTATGGCAAGTTAGTCTGATTTTCTAGTTTATGACTCCATACACAAATAATATTGGAGGCTATAACAACCAAACATTGTCTTTGTAATATCTATATTATAATAGATAACTTACATTACTTTCTGTACTTCATAGAAAAGTGGTAAATAAATTATAGAAGGGGAAGAGCTAGAGAACAAATGTCACAATTCTCATACTAGGGAAGTTTGTGGATTTTTCAAAATATTTCCTTATAAAATGCTGGACTTAAAACTAATTTATATAATATTAAAATTTCATTTGTTAACTTCATTTTGATGCTGAGTTTATTCATATACATTGATAATAAAGTAGTTTAATTAAATTTTGAATGTAACTCTGTAAAAGGTCATAAAATGAGAACTTTGACCCACCCATTGGGAGAAGGTTAGGGAGAAATAAAAACACCTGTGTTATGGGTAGAAGAAAAAAACGATTAGAAAAAAAAACACACCTGTGTTGTGAGCAGATGATGAGGTCAGGATATCAATAGAACCAGTAGATGATGTGCGGGAAAAAGAAAAGGAGCCAATAAGTGTTGGACTTGGAATTTCAAGCTTCTGATCATTATCGACTCCTGTTAGAATGAAACAAAGAAATTAACAAAATCATAAGTACTTTAATTGGTAAATGGTAACACAACGTACAATTTAACAAAAGAATTAAAAGTATTCTATAACTGCATGGAACAACAACAACTTATTATAAATTCAGCATTAAAATCCAGAACCATATATAAAAATACAGCTTTAGCTAGTTCAAAAATTTCTGCTAATTAAATAAGCTTAAGGTAAATCTATATTCTATAAATGTTTGAGCAGAGTTTGAAGATATGTGTACCAATTACAATTTGAAATATTAAATATATCAAAAATAGAAACTAACCTCATTCATATAAAACTAGCCTTATAAAGAATGCTCTTCCTTTTACATAAATCCAGACATATAAATAAAAATGTATATACTGACCAGTTAATAATTATTATTGTTATTCCAAAAAGCCTTTAATCCTAGTTAGAATGTGAATAATCATGACAACCAACACTGCTATCTGCATGATTCTTGCATGCTATCTGATAAGTGGTAGATTTTGTGGTCATGGTTTTCATGTTGAACAAAACTATTTTCATAACTTTTTTCTCTATCTTTCAACATTTTGTTTTTGCAGTGCACTTTACTTAATGAAAGTGTTTTGACTAATGTGTGATCACACTCATAACATATATTAACTTTTAGTTGAACTTGTTTGAATTGCTATCCTATTTGTAAGCTAGCATACATTCCATAAAATGAACTACGTTTCTGTTTATATGCATTTCATGCTTATCTGAAAGAGCATATCTTCACTCACTCAGCAAAGTTCACAGTTCCTTCTATTAATATGAACTATATTAGTTTCTTGGGAGAAAGACATTTTTATGGTCTGTTCATGTAATATGCTTAATTTGGTGTACAGCTCAGTTAACATAATGTAGAAGATACAAAAGCACAGGTAATATGCTCTATTCATTAACAAGCTCATATTCTCATCAATTTTTACCCACATTTACTATGTCTATTACATTTATTTAAAGAATTCAAGATGCTTATTGAATTTTTTCAAAGGTAGAAAAACAGTTGTCTGTATGTTTTAATTAGTAATCTTGCCAGTAAATGCTTACTTACACAATTATGGTAGTCTCTTTTCTTCATGACCAGGGGTGAATAATTCCAGCCATCACTTTGATTTTGCATAAGTTATATTCATGAAGAGACATCCAATAAATATCAAAATATAATTGGTTAGCACTTGTTCACACTAGTTGTCTTTCCCCACATTTGTTTACAACTGAACAATGGATGATGTCACAATGAACCTGCACTTTCCCTTCTAATTTTGTGAATGGTCAGATTTGAGATTTACACTTTCATAAAGTATTTCACACTTGTGTATTGAAAACTACCAAGAATATGATCAACTAAGATATGAATAAAAACAGCCTTTGGCTTTTGCTGAAATGAAGCAGCTAAAACACACTTGTTGTTTGTTAGTTGACAAGGAAAAAATTCATGTGTATGCTAAACTAACTGGTCTGCCTCCAGTCACTTCCATCCCCCTATCACAACTGCTTCCAAAGCCTTTTGAGTGAATCAGAATACAGGCAGTTAAATATATGTTTATATTATTTAGCTTATGTAGGGTACCAACAGCTTCCTTCAGGTGATGAAACTTTTGAAGAAGCTTTAGCACAACTGGCTATAAACAGTAAATATCAATTTGCAAACATCTATGTCATCGAGACAAATTTTACAATTCACATTCTGATGACTGTACATTGATTTACTTATCTGTCCCTTACATGAGCTACTTTTTCTAATATTCTGTTTAAACTAAATTAGCTAAGTTGATAAGAGTATTTTTCTAAGTTCCTGAAGAAATGAACTTATAAATTCTTGCTATATTATTAGAGCTGAGCAATTAGTGGTATTTGCTAATTGATGAATTTTGATCAATTGATTAGTATAGTGTTCCTAAAACCATGGTATCTACACAAAAGACAGAAAAAGAAAAAAAAAAAGTTTGTGGTGAGTGTTGCCAGACAGTTACCTTTCTTCTAATCAGCAGTTAAGAATTAGTGCAAGCAGCCTTAGTAGCTTTGCCATAACAAAGACAGGGTGAGCAAATTTGGTGGCAATATTTTGATTACATGACTATTTTGTAACAATCAATTTAATTGCGATTTCAATTAATTGTTGATTGTTTTTTGTGACAATCGATATAATCAGAATTTTGAATAATTGATTATTGGAATAATCTAAAACAGTAACAATCAGAAACATGACTTTCTATTTTATCATACTTTCAATTAATTGATTATCTTATGAGACACTAATCAATGTAATCACAACTCATAGGATATCGATTATATTTCTCAGCTTTGTTATTTTTTTTGGACAAATTAATTTTTGGAAACATATGTGGCTTAAAATAGTGTTAATCAAGATTATTCTATTAAGCCATTTACTAAAATTCCATTTCTTATCATGAAAAACTAGCAGAGACCCACAAATCATTTGTGGTCAAATTAGTATATTTATTGCAAGAGTACTTGTTTAAATACAGGATTCCTAGAATAACACAAAAAAATTCCAATTGCAGACACTGAAATCTATAAGTCTACTTGTCTTAGGCCTAACATTAGTTAAGTCTTTACTAAGTATGGTCTATATTCGATAGGGATAAATTAACACTAACTTGTGTACATTTTTTACTTTAGTTAAGGCTAAACTTTACTGTACTTAATACTATCAATAAATAAACTTAAAATGTTATTCTATGATCAAAACTTAGACCTTTTTTAAAACTTTTGATAAGCTTTTAATATGCTGTTGTACAAAATGTCTACTAAAGCATATTTACATCCACCTTTTGCTTACATCCACTGAAATAAAGTGTGCACGCATGTACATTTAGATAGTAAGGTACATGTGCATTTTCAGGATAGACAAAAACTGTGTATTATTATAATACATTACTCAGTATCTTAAGCCCAGAAATCACCACAATGATAACAAGCATTACAATTTAATGAAATCTTCACTTATTGTGTATTCACATGTATTTTAAGTTCCTCATTAAAACCTGTTCCACAAATTATTGCATACCAATAACTAGATACGAGATTTCAGCCCTTGACACAAACTCCATCATTTTTCTCTTCTGCATGATAAAACAATCTTTTGGCAAGACAAATATTAACTGAAAGGATCCATTAAAAAAATCATTTTTTTTCATAAGTGGAGTAGATCTTGAGAGATGTGTAAAAAACATCAATTAACTCTCTGTTCACATGAAATTGACCAACTGTAGATTTGTGAAGCTATACAAACTATTTTTACTATAACTCTAAATTTGTTAAGTGTGTCTTCATGAAATTTGACAAGTTCTTAAAAAAACATAAGTCTGTTGCACACCAAAAAAAATCAAAGTTTTCAATAAAGTATTTGAACTAAAGATTTGTCTGACTAAAGGGTGATATTCATGATAAGAATAAAATTACTTCTTTTCATATTATTTTGCATATTTCATCTGTATAATGTCTAGACCATTGTAAATAAATATCAAGAATTTTTTTTTGTTTCTAGTAAAGCAAACATCTCAAATAAAATTTACAAATCAGCTGCTTAATCTGGCTCACACCATAACAGTCATTGTTCGTAAAAACTGATTATATCTATAGCACCTAAACCATTACTACGTCTGTCATACCCCACCTGGCCTGGTATTGGTTGATTGGTTTCATCAGATGTTGTGTGGCTGACATATTATAACATATTCTCCTTTCCTTTCATTCATCAATTCTTAGAATTCAAAATGTATCTCTTATTCTTCTATCGTAACACTACCAGTAGAGAAATCACCAGTATACAGTGAAATGAAAAGTTAAAAAGTATGAAATAAAATTATTAATATCATTTTTTCTTCTGCCCTGGATGCAGTATTGTTCAGAAAGTACCAGACTATTTCTCTTAACAGTTTCAACTGCAAACCTTCTTACATCTGTTTTCTTATAATTTTATGGTTTTATTGATGTACTCATTGGAGCAGTAATTCTCACATCCAAAGCAATAAACCTCAGTGGAAGACCATTAGTTATTTCACATACAGGTCACATAGACACCACATGACATGAGCATCATGGTTCACACAGCACTGTATTGTGAAGTCATGTTAGGCTAAGCTGAGAAGTTTATAATTTTTTATATTTTAGTTACATTTGTTAGAAACATACAACATATAAAAATATATATAAAAAACAAAAACATTCTGCACTCACATTTCATAAATTTGGGTGTCCAAAAGACATTTATATAGCTTTAAAATATGCACCTTAGAACACAAAATATATCAGATACTAAAACAGTATGTAAAACAAATAAAATTTATCCTGCTTTCTTATTAAGTTATAAATAGGTCAAATATTATGTTATCATTCAGAACAGAAAAATATGATCATTACAAACCGGTATTCCTTTAGATTAACAGTTTATAGTGCCAAAACTGAACAAAGACTTGTAAGATTTATTTAGTAGGGAATCTGTTGTTTCTTTGGTTATAAACACATCCATCAGCCCTCTTTTCCTTAACTATCAACATGACACCATTTGTTGATTTTTGTGTAGTATGATTTCCTTAGTTGGTCAATGTGCAAAAGTTTTTACTGGATTTGTCATTTGGTAAATTAAAACTGTCTTTTTACTGGTCATTAGTAACATAATAGCAGACATCAAAGCAATTTATTGGCAATTTGTGAAATAGACAATGTAATAGAAGGGTGTGGCAAGTTGGTTTCAGTTTCTGACTTATATCCCCCCCCAAGGAAATAAATTTTTAAAATAGTTTTTATATGCGGAAACATCTGTTAGCTGAGTTCTTGCACAGATCTTAAAATATACCATTGATAAGCGGGAACATTGGTACGTAGGTCGCACTTCAGGATTGCAGGATAGAATTAAACAACATGTACCCGCATCCATAAGAAATAAGATTGTGAAAGAAAAGAAAAGAATTTACCATGTTGCTCCAGTAAAACAAAA